GGGGATGTGTTACATGCCTGTGTTTAATGTAGTAAATGTTACTTTGTGCATTTTAAAGTATTATGCTGGTTTTGTGTTCCCACGTGTGTAATGGAGTTTTGCCTTTGTCTTGGGAGATAATTGAGTTACTTCCCAATTATCTCCCAGGGCAGAGGGGAGGAAGCCAGGATGCATTGTGGGAATATACTGTGACTGTGTGTCCTTTTTGTATACTTGTCTGTCCCTTGTCACAGTCTCCCATTTGGTCCCCTAGGGGAGTGTCCACCAGGTGGGAGACCTGCATAAAAGCTGGGCAGGTAGCCCTCATTAAACAGACCACTGCTTGACCCTCAACACGGAGCCTTGTCTCGTCTTTGGGGGGATTTACTGTATGCTGCTAAGGACTGATTGCCAGGAGTGTAAGCCGCTTGGAAGCTTTTCCTGTTCGCCTGCTAGCAGCTATTCGTATGGTTCCTGTTCGTTTATTTGAAGTGCTACCTTATTCCCTTGTATGCCGTTCGGGAGTTTGGAGCATTCACTTATTGGCGGTTCGTGAGTTTTGGTGATTCTACAGTAGCTGTGCCTGTCTCTGAAAAGGGGGATTATCGTCTAAGCGTTTTTTTTCCCCTTTTGTGCAAAACGGTCCGTTACAGTGAGTGTCTTGATTAATGAGCAAGCTGAACAAACCAGGCCCCTAGACCAGCAACACATCACAAATCAGGGGTTTGGTGGGCGGGCTGAACAAACTGGGCTAAACGCACAGCAACCCACCTCAAAACAGGGGGAGGGGGCAGAGGCTGGCTTCATGACAAAGCGAGATCTCCATTGTTGAAACCAAGATGCTTAGGTGTCAAAGCAGGAGGGCTACACTGCAATGTAGATAGCCACGCCTAGTTGGAGCAATGGTAAAGTGCAGTAATTGTCGGCACTTGAAAGTTCGTGATAAGGAATAAATGGACTGCTTAGGACAGTCCAGCAGAAAAGAAACTAGACTAACAATGTGTAGGCAAAATGCCTCAAGGGCATGAGTCTCACGCTCAGTACGGCTAGTGGTCTTGGTGGTGAAATACTGTCATTTTAGTACAATATCCTTGTAGGGGCCATGGCTTGGAGAGCTCTGTCTAGCAAAATGCTCCTCTGCAGAGTGGACAACTGAAAACTGTTATCCAGGTTTTTGATGGCATCCTACAATTGGGTGTATTTGGTGCAGAGTTTCCCGTAGTTCACCTGAAACGATGTGTAGGCCTCAGTGAAGGCCAGCATATTCAGTCATTCAGCAGACAGACCATCAAGCTCAGTCTGCTTGGGGGCCCTCATTCACAGAGAGAAATAGTTGCTTAATTACCTTAATATTGGTGGGGAACGCTGTCTGCAGATCCTTGGATGAGTGGGCCACTACAATATTGCTACCACTGTCAGTCAATGCAGTTGGTAAGCACCATGATATGCCCAATGATCTAGTTTTCTTTCCATGATTACTCATATCTTACCCAATCCAAAGGCCTTGATAGCCGAGAAGTCGCTAAAGTAAGCTAAAGCTTGTGAACCACGATGTAAGCTTACTCTTCGAGCAGTCGTCATGGAGCCCAGCCATGCCACACACCACTTGCAACTTAACTTCTAAAGGCTACACTACCTGTGCTTTGCATGTGGGGAAATTAGCATCTCCACACTCTGCATGGAGGTGCTTAATGTTGCGATGCAGTGATTCATGCATGAGATGCAGTGATTCAATTAATCTATATGAGGAGATGCTTATTGGCATGGAAAAGCATTGCATTGGCTAGGATTAACAGTTGTGATGGTCTCAGGCAAGGGGGCAGAGTGGAGACAGACAGCTGCGATGGACCTGCGCTGGAATAAAGGTGAGTAAAATAACCTTGTAAATTGCTTACAGGGCTCGCGGCCTAAATTATGTTTTCACAGCTTTCATGACAGGAATACATGTTTGTGTTTCTTTTAAACTACTAATAAATGTGTTTAGAAAGCAGTCTATGTAAATAAAATGCATTGTTCTTGTTTTAAATTGCAATTTAATGGCATGCATTGTTATTAGTTTGTCTTCTAAAATTTCATAACAACCCTGCACATGGCCACACCCCTAAAATTACAGTGTCTCTCTTTGTGGATTTGAGCTATTGGGAGGTATGGGTTAGATCAGTGGTTCCCAACCCAGTCCTCAAGTACCCCTACCTGTTCAGGATTTAGCAATTACCAAGTTGTGAAAAGAAAAAAAACAACACTTTAGACACAACAGGGTAATCCCTAAATCCTGGGTTGGGAACCACTGGGTTAGATGCATAGGGATATATAATATAATTGATTACAGCATATATCACCAGAATAGTTAATACATAGTGGCATTTCCAAGTAATAACCTGGGTAACATTAAAAGAAAACTGATGAACTTAAAGGTATTATATGTGTGTGACTCTTCTAGCAAATCAAGAATAATACATATTAGTGTAGAGTGATATGTTAACTGAAAGATATTTAACATAAAATTTATCTCAATTCACAGGATTTTCAGTTTATCTATAATCTTCAACTGTATACTGTAAGCTACAGATTACTTTATTGTGCTGATTATGGTCCTATATTTCACATGGCTAAAATCTACATGTGTTAAAATGGCAGAAGAATGTTCCACAAATTATTAGAGACCATGAAATCCCCCAAAGTCTTTTTTTTTTTTTTTTATCTTTTGTTTATATTTTTAGTTTTTTAATACAATGGAGTGGTACATTTTTAATTAGAAGCACTATGGAAATAAACAACACTGGGATGGTGGTATTCATTGCAAAAATAAAGGATTTTTTATTTTTATTTTTTTTTTTTAAGCGAAAACACGCTCTCAACAGCTTGCCTTTAATTTCTTATGAAACACAATTGTTTGGTACTTGAAAAACCATGTCTGGCTAAAACGTGATGTTATTTGATATGAGTCACTTTGCGTGATTTATTCTATCCCCACCTTTCCCAAATCCTGTTAAATCCGTAATAAAAAATGTAAAAGCCATATTTGTGAGATGCTGAAAACACTTGACAATGAGCCATGCTGTAATTGTACTGTTAGTAAATGGTTGCCTGCTAAAATTGGCCTATAATTGCATCTAAAAACCTGCATCTTTCCGAGGCATCATTATCAGTTGCTGTGGCTAGGGCATCACTTGAAACAAAGCAGAGAGATGAAAGACAACACTCATTCAGTATGAATGCAGGCTATTGATTCTACTTCTCTGTTCATGTAGTTTGCCATAGCAACAGCTATTAACTATCCATTTCACTGTAATAGTTAAACATTCATTTGGTGCCAGGTGTAAAGAAGGCAAAGCAAAAATCCATTGTTGAAGGCATAGCATTATTTTTTAACTGCATCATCACAATACTGTTTAATCTTTAGCATCTTCTCAGCTGTTGCAGTGCTATGGTATGTGTTGTACTGATGTAGGATTCTGTATTAAGGTAATATAATATAAAACGAAATGTATAATAAATGCCAGACAACTAGAATAACTCACAACACTCTTGCACTTTTGTCTTAAGGTATATACTTATAGTTGAATGTTTTTGTTTTTCCTTTTCTTTCCAAATAGTATTTATTAAAGTTACACATTTTTGAACATGTCAATGTAAATTAAGAATAATTAAAAAATAAATTAAATAAAATTAAGGGGGAACAAGGTATCCATCTAAAATTACAATATAATCATACAACATATAAATGCTTATATTCATTAGACAATAATAATGTATACATTATTAAACATAACATGTTAACACAGCAAATAAATTTCAGTATAGGACTAAATCCCAAAGTTATAAGCAATAGGATTTTCTAACATCTTTTTCCCAATCAGTCCAAAAATACTTAGGTTTGTCTAGTGTTGGTGATGGCTGTCTAATAACCTTTTCACAAGTCTTTTTTTACAATATTGGCTTTTTAATAAAGGGTATAACGAATATGGGAACTTTCCAGTTGTTCTTCTAACCATGTCATTATCCTTCATAAGCATGCCATTTAGGTATCATCAAAAACATAGCTGTGGTTGCTAACATGGCTGCAAATAAAATAAACTAGCTACTGTGAGTTCTGCTGACACCAGAAGGATGTTTATGCAGTGGTAAATTGATAGTAGACACAGTTAATCTTGAAATGCAAGAAAATTTGTCATAGGAGTACCAAAGGTATTTGATACCTGAAGATGAATTGTCCGTTGACAACCACCCATTAAAAGAAATAAAAATTTTTTTTATAAAAAAATACTATATATAATCTATATAATAAGGTAAGAGCCTGGATTTGTGCAAGGGGCTAGTTAAGGCTATTTAATTTTATTTAATCTGTTACAGTGCAGCATATCACTTCCGGTTCCGCGGTTTGTGGTCACTGAAATATGCATTGTCCAGCGTTAGGCCATCTTGGCGGTCACAAAACTGAAAGCTTATCCATTCGACGGAATTGCTCTCTTCACGCGAGGTAGTTTCAGCCTAGCCTGCCTGAAGTTTAACATTGTTTGAGTAAAATTCGAGTGTGGTTATATTTTCACTAGAGTAGAGCGGACACCTGGATGTTCGGGTCCGGCGGGTTCGGCCGAACTTTGAAAAAATAAGTCCGGGTTCGTCAATGGGGACCCGAACTTTTGAGCGCAAAAATGTCTCTAAAAAACTCCTGGAAAGGGCTAGAGAGCTGCAAAAGTAAAATGGGGGGAAGAGTAGGACAAGTACCCTGCAAACAAATGTGGATAGGGAAATCACTTAAAATAACATAAAAATTAAAAATACAGCTGAGCCATAAAATAGCACTAGATGGAATCTTGATTTTAGCTTTGGAAGAACATAAATCAAAATCTAAAGCATGGCTGTCAGGAGGATCACCAGAATTATCCATTTGAGAGAGGGTTGGAGTGCAGGGTATTCTCTTTCATTGTTCAAACTGAGCTCAACTCCTGATGAATGGAGAAAAGGCCTTCACAAGCCTCTGCTATTGTTTACATAGTTTATACTACGTGACCCATAGGTTGAGGAGGCGGTGGCCGTGTAGGTGGCAGTGGTGGTGGAGGAGGAGGTAGCCAACACTGTTTATAAAAAAAAAAATATATATTTTATTTTTATTTTAATTGGGGTAGCCCCCAAAATATTGGGACATACAAATAAGAAAACTGTTCTTTTTCAATGTGCTCCCCAATGAGAAGGCGACAACGCATTCATATGTCAATCCATATCAACTTTCGATGCCATTGACTGTGCCTACCATGGTGACCACGGGTAACGCGGATTCAGGGTTCGATTCCGTAAAAGGACCTTGACAAACAGCTACCACATGCAAGGATGGCAGCAGGCGCGCAAATGACCTACTCCTGACGCGGGAAGGTAGTGACGACAAATAACAATACAGGACTCTTTAGAGGCCCTGTAATTGTAATGAGTCAATTTGAAATCCTTTAACTCTGATCAATTGGAGGGAAGTCTGGTGCAGAGCCACTGACCCATGCGTGCTGCAGCTGAAACTCCACTATCGCCTGTTGCTGCTCAGTCTCTCCAGCATGTGCAAGGTGGAGTTCCACCTTGTGGGCACATCGCACATGAGGCAGTGAGCGGGAAGGTCAAAGTTACGCTGCAGCGCAGACAGGTGAGCAGCAGCAGGGTGAGAACACTAAAAGTGTGCACAGCCACTACAGAGAATGTCAAATCCTGTTCCAAGTTGCAGATCAGTCTGGTGATGGCTTCTGGTAACCAGTACTCTTTTTACTGAAGCTGCATCAGGGTCCTAGTATGTGGCCACACAAACGCTGGTGCTCAACACCAGGGGGTGTGCGGTTACCCTGCTAATCCATTCCACGCTGTGACTCCTAACTTCTATATCAGGCATACTGGGTCCCCGTCGTCCAACCGCCGCCCAGACAGTGTCTGGGTCTCGGTCACCGGACTGCGAATGGCTCATTAAATCTGTTATGGCTCTTTTTATTGCTTCAACTGTTACTTAGATAACTGTGGGAATTCAAAAGATAATACATGCCGACGAGCGCTAGGCGACGGTCGCTCCGCTTTTGCACCCTTCTTCCTCTTATGCTGTGCTGGTGCCTCTGTGCGACCAGTGCCTCTTCCTCCAAACTGCACACGTCACTCGCATGACCTTGATTCCATGTGGGGTCTAGGACCTCATCATTCTCCACATCATCCTCCACCCACTCCTCAACCCTGCCCTCCTTGCCGATATGCACACTGCAGAAAGCCACCGCAGTTGGCATCTGTGATTTTCCAGCATGTAAAGTCTGCAAAGGACAAATGAAAATTGATTTAGAATTGTATCCAGGCAACAATTTTCCCTATAAACTGACCTCTCAGTTTGACTTGTGAGGACATTGCCCCAGAATTACAATATTGTTTAAGTACCTCTTAGCTATTGCTAACTGGTTTAAATATAGCAGCTTGTTATCTGGTAGTTTCTAGTGTAGAAAATATCCATCTGTTTTCTATCACTTAGATCTGTGTAACAAGTGTTGTAGGTGTGAAACAATATTACAAGTGACCGATGTAGTAAATTCGAATCAAAGTTACGCTTCGATTTGACTCTCAGATATGAAGAGCAGGCCACAAAATGTACTATTGAGCAGATTAGCAGCAAAACATTTAGAATGTTTACAGCTGTGCTGTAAGCAGGGGCGTACCTAGAGCATTTGGCACCCTCCCCCCCTCCCCCCAAAAAACAAAAACAAAAAACCTGTAAAAAAATGTTAAAGGTTTTCTTTCTTTTTTTTTTTTTACAATTTGTAAACTTTGCAAAACCGCTGTCAGCCCCTCCTACAAAACCCTTGTCCTGCCCCGCCCCTCCTACAAAACCTCTGTCTTGCCCCTTCTACAAA